TTATATGTTATGTTGAAAATTTCTACATCTTTACTTTAATTTTTAACATGAACTCACAAATACATATGTTAATAATTTAAATCCAACTAAAATATAACATTTTAAACGTTATATAACATAATGTTTTAACAATCAATCATTTACCGATGTCAATGACTTTAACAAAATTGTATTTATGTCCATTTGGATATCATTTGTTATTGGTCATACAATTATTTTTCTTTTATATCATTTAATTGTATCCATATTATTCTAATTAAAGTTGCGCTTTTGTTGTAAATGTACAACTTTACAAATTAAACATTAATGCTTGAATTTCAAAAATCATCATTTTCACTTTTCATTACTCCCTCCATTCCTAAAAGATAAATGTTTTACAAATTTTTTTTTAAAGATAATTTTTTTTTATGTTTTCTATGCATTTTTATCATTTAATGATAAGAAATTGTTTATTTCAAAATTTTTATTTAAATACTATGAGTTGAAAGTTTTTGAAAACAGTTTATTGCAAAAATCAATACATTTACTATAGAACATTAGTTGTTTATCTTAATATGTGTAAAACCTCCGAAACATCTTTTTGGAACGAAGGGAGTATTTCTTAGATTTTTTATTTAAGAAGATTTACATACTAATATAATTTTTTTTTATTTTTTTGATGAGATCAAATAAGTTTGATAGAACCATAATCTCAAAAATATTTGATTTACATTAAAAACGTTTACATTCAATTTAAGTATCATGCATATTAAATTTTTTAAGATAAAATATATACATCTATATAGGAGATATACCATTTGATATTTTGTTGTTTCTAATCTCTCATATATATTATAAAAAATTATGATTTTTGTTTCGAAATATTCTAATCGTAAAAAATCTAGTTTGTAATTACTCATCGATGACTTTACTATTTCTTAAAGAGAAACATTCAGGTTGATCTGTTGCTTGTAATATTACAACTTTCAAAACATCAAAAATAACAACCACCAAAATGTCTTTCATGATTTTCTAAAGATTAAAATATTGTTTGAACGGTTACAATTTACAAACATAAACCCCATTGATTTGGTCGGTGTTTCAAAGACATCTTTCTTTGCCGCTTTGGTTTTCATTCGATGAGAACGTAACCATTTGGATCGTGGACTATCATTCTACTACTACTAGCCGCAAGTTCTATGTTATGAGGATCTTTTTTACAGACCTGAGCATGAGATTCAGCTTCTCGTTGAAACTTCTTCACCATTTCGTCAAGCTCTAGTTTTCTAATCTCCACGTTCTTTTCCGTCTTTGGCTCCTTGAGTCCAAGGTAGAGCAAAGCTGCGACCACTAGCACCAAACCCGAGAAGAAGAGAACGGCTGAGAATAGTGCAAATGCTTGTGGAGAATTTTGAGCTCCTGGTATGCCATCTACGTTGATCCCAAATAGACCAGTCACTATTGTAAGCAACATACCAACTCCTCCAAAGATTCCGAGGTTGTGTGTAACCGTGAGGCTCCGGTCCTAATCAAACCGAAAATGTTCTCAAAATTTTAAGAAGACTTAGAGAGGTATGTACTTGTGTTAGCATATCTGATTGGGAAACATTTGTCTACCTGTAACCATGCTCGAACTGTGTTTTGCATGACGTCTTGGATAGTGAATAAGCGACCACGGACGGCTTCTTGTTCATTGATCATATCGCGAGTGCTTTTTTTAATTCCTTCTAGCAAGTCTTTTGTTGTATTTCCTTTTAGTTGCTGAAGCAGCTCGAACACAATCTCTTCTCGAGCGTGCAGCGACCATTTTACCCGTATAACCTGATACATACATAGCAAAGAGAAATGATGAACAGACCAGAGCAAGTCGAGAAACAAGTTCTTTTGAAGCGGCTGTAGTTGTTGAAGAGTATTATCAGAACTTATATGAAGAAATGAAAAGCGCGAGTAAGCATAAACCAGATTACGTGATCTCATTCATGGTAATCTAACAGAAAGAAAGCTTTACTTGGGTCGAAAGCCTTCTGATTTCTTGATTCAAGATTATAGTAAACAGATTTAGATCCTCGTACATTCTCCTGATTTCAAGAAAAACAAAATTTCCATGCTCCATCAGGCTTAAGGAGGAGTGGTTAAGCAATAGAAGACGTAAGATAAAGAATAGGTTCAGTTAAAGTACTTGTTCATAAACATCAACTCAACTTCATCGGCTGCACCAAATATATACTTCCGGAATAGCCTACATTAAAGATATGGACACTATCAACCATCATATCCACAAAATGAAAAAGGTTCTTATATTTTCCTAAAGAGAAATATGCAGCTTGCATCTTTCCTCTCAGTACAGGGAAACACTAAAGGAAAGATGTTCCATGTCGCCTTCTAACCGTTATATTCTTTTAAAGTTGTATGATTCAAACCAAGAGAAGACAAATACCTATCATCCCAGCGTGCAAGGCGGCATGCAAGATGTGCTATTAGTTCATGAACGGTTCTCGGAATGCAAGCTCCACCAGCAATAAGCATTTCCTGGTAAGAAAAAGTGCACCAGCTTAAAAAGAAAAAGACCTGAAAGAACCTCCAGAAGACAAAAATGATTCAGATGAGAAAAACAGACCTGGACTTCTGTAATACCTAACACACTAATGTTCGAGGCAAAGCCTTTAACGTGCAATGCAGTCACTATAAAGTTCTGCGCATGCCATGACCTTAAGACAATGGGAATGTCATCTTCTTCGATAAACGGATCACCAGCTGATTGTCCCAACAACTCAAACAACAATCCACCAGCAACTCTAACAGGAACCTATTCAAACATACATACAACTAAAGAACCAGGAGCAAAAAATCCACATTACAAAAAGCAAACATACTCAGATTTTCACCTCATAGAAAATATGTTTCATTCGTTCACTAATCAGCTTACTTTCGTCCCTCAGAGCAACGCTTATAGCCGGATGTAACCACTTGGCATTACGCAACCACGAGACAATACCTTTATGACTAGCGTCTACATGACACCACCAAGTTGGACCAGCAAGTGGTCGTTCCCAGTAAGGAACAGCAAGCTCAGCAACCGTTGCTTCATCTTCATCATCTATGGCTATGTTCTGCAATGACCGATCACTATCAACTTCCACAGTCTTAACAAGCCCAGAGATCCTCTCCCATCCAATTGGTCGCCAAAAACTCCTCGAGTGTTCTTCTTCTCCAATAACACCGAATTGGTCTTTATTTCTATCACAACAAAACTGTTCACGGTTGGTTTAAGACTCTTCAAGAAAAGCTCATTAAGCAAGATTCGTAAGTAAGTAAGCAAGAATCATACATTTGGGGCAAATTTGCAGATTGATGAACACTTGTGTTGTATTTGTTTATCTTGCGACGACTTGGACAAAACTCGAAAGCACAAATCAGACCATTCGTCCAGAGATTTTGGTAACCTGGAGGATTTCCGTTGTGATTCTTATTCATATTCCAATCGAAAATTCGCTTATTCATATTCTAATCATCGAAGAAGATCTCTGAATCAAAAACAGAAGAAAATCCCTCACAATCAACGAAGAATCATATACAAGTTAAAAGAGGGAAACGAAGAAGAAACATTACTCGAAATACGAAGGCGAATAATCAAAATCACCAGATTTTCTCGGGAAAATTTCGCAACCGATTTGAAGATAGAAATTGAATTGACCTTAAGAGAAGGCAAGAACAAACAGACACGTGTGTATACCTTATGCACACGTGTGAATTTTCTTTTCTTCTACGAGATAATTAGATTCTTAATACAAAAGAAAAAAAAAACGATTTTAGGTTTTTTATGAATCGATCGTTAAACTTGATTAATCAGGCCAATTTCGCTATGATAAACGACTAATTCTCTGGAGAAGATTCAAGAATTTCGAAACAGAATTTATGCGAGATCACTCATATCCAACATCAGAGATACGCAAATTTCGAG